CCAGGCGGCGGCGGCGGGAGCGGCGGCGTTTGCGGCCTAAGCGGGAGGGCGGATCCCCGGCCTCGCGTAGCGGCCCGTGCCCGCCCAGGGCCGCCCTCCCCCGGGGGGACATGTCCCTGGTGGCTTATGCCAGCAGCGAGGAGGAGAGCGACGCCGAGGAAGCCGCCGGAGAGGAGGAGGAGAAGAATAAGAAAGAAGAAGAAGAGGAGGAGGAAAAAAACGCCGCTTCTCCTCCTTCTCCTCCCGAAACCCCATCCCGGGGGCTTTTCGCCAACTTGCCTCCCCCCAAAACCCCCGCGGTCGCCCCGAATTTCCCCCTTTTACCGCCTCCCCAACATGGAGGGGCTCCCCATCCTTTCCTCATGGGCCCCCCGCCTGCTCTGAGGGGTTTCAATGCCGGGATCAACCTGCCCCGGGCCTCGGGCAGCAGCGGGAACCGGGAGCAGCCCAGGCTGGAGGGGCTTCTCCTGCCTCCCCCCCGGAACGCAGCCCCCAGCGCCGCCTCTCCCCTCAACCTGCCCCCTCCTGCTGCTTTACCCGGCGCTGGGGGGGATTTGAACCCCCCCAAACCGAAGAAGAGGTCGGAACCGGTGAGAATCGCGGCGCCCGAGTTGCCCAAGGGAGATGTGAGTATGAAACAAACCACTTGGCTGGTTGGAGGGACCTGGCTCTGCTTAAAACCCCCTTCCAGAAGGAGCTTTTATGCATGACACCCTCTTTTCCCGGAGCAATTCCCCCTGGGTTTATATACCCATCAAGTTCAGCCTTTCTTCCCTTACTCTCTCCCTTCAGAAGGTACCAAAAAACCCTCCCAGGGAGGTCTGTCCAGGCCTAATCCTAAAGAGCTTTGAAGCATTAAACTCCTCCAGAAACCTCCTTTAGAACCATAAATACACCAGCCCCCAGATCAGCTGCACTCCTGGAGTTAATGAGGGGATGATGTGGAGCTGGGATTGAGTTTGAACCCAAAAAAACTCTTTTCTTAGTGCAAGGATTTTCCTGTCACTTTATGGCTGATTTGTTTCAAGGTGAAAGGCTTTGGGTGCTGGGTCCAACCAGTCCCATGGTTGGTCCCATCTCTTGAGATGATGTTTCTCTTGTTTTTTAAAAGGAAAAAGACTCCAAAATGTATAGAATTTGATGTTGGGGGTTGGATTGGATGATCTCAAGAGGTTCCTTCCAAGTTAAGTAATTCATGGGATGGTCTGGGTTGGAAGGGACCTTAAAGATTATCCAGATTCAACCCCCCAGCATCAAATTCTACCTATTTTTGGAGTATTTTTCCCTTTACAAAAATGAAACATCATCCTCCATGACATAACATTTTGGTTTCACATCATGATCTGAAGTGGAGTGGGTTGAGGTTGCTGAGTAGAGCTGGGTGGTGACTTCTTGAGCTCTGCTGGTGATGCAGCCCAGTTTCCTGGTGGCTTTTTCTTTGCTCCCTCATGGTGGTGTCCACCAAACCCCCCAGGTCCCTGGTGGTTCCCAGCCTGAGCTGCACTCCTGGGTTACATGTTCCCAGCTCCAGGACCTCCCACTTCTCCCTCTTGAACTTCACAAGGTTCCTGCTGGTCCAGGTCACCCTGGAAAAGGTGACTCTTCCTTCCGGAATGTTAACCTTTCCACTCATCACCAAACTTCATCTTGATCCCAACATCCAGGTGACTTCTGAAGATCTCCCAAGAGTGTTGGGCCCAGAATGGATCCCTGGGGACCCCACCTGTCACCAGCTAGGTCCAGGGAGATGCCATCACCTGCTCTGCCACCACATGTCACAGAAGGCCACCAACTTGACCACTCACCTCCTTATTTCCCATCTCCCTCAGGAGATTCTGCAGGAGAATCTTCTCCATGTTCTTACTGGGCCCTGAGATGCCCCTGACCCCTTTGTAGTTCCCTGGATCTCCCTTTTCCCCCCCTCTTAGACAAACAGGAACCTTGGGACCTTTTTTCCCACCTCCCCAACTCATAATCCACCCAGAAATCCTAAAATCAACCTTGTGAGGCAGAAAAATCCCCTTCAACCCCAATCAAAAATCAATCAAGAACCCCCACATCCCTCTTCCTCCTCCAAACATCTCCCCATTCCTTTTCTCTCCACCTCTTAGAGATGTTCCTGGGGGGGTCAATTTATCTTCTCCCCCCCCTTACAACACAACCAGGGGGGGGTTTGATGGCAACTCCTGCTTTGTCTCCCTTTATCCATGTCTTTTATCTTTCTCCTCCTTGATAATTCAGACCTGGCAGCAGAGCCTGGTTCCTCTAATCACTTTAAAGTGCTCTGCAGAGCTTGAAGAACCATCAAAGATGTTAAGGGACCTTTTCCTGATGCCAGAGGCAACCAGACTTATCACTTTGCAAGGGCTCTTTTTGCCAAGTCCCACCATTTATTGTCAACAATTCCCTTTGCTAACCCCACTGGGAATTTTTCCAGCTCTGCTCTGGGTGGGTTGGGTAGATCAGAGACCTTGTGTGTTCTGGTTTCATTTTTCCTGGGATTTCTTCAAAAAAACAAATTCAAATTGAAGCAGCACTTCTGAAAATGCCAATTTTGGGCAGGAACCAACAAGGTAGAATCTGATTTATTTCTTTTTTCCTGCTTTAGAGCAGGAAAAACCCTTTGAAAAGGAGCAATTTTGGAGGTAGCAGGTCCTGTATTTTTTTTTTTGTGCTGGAGTTAAATGGTCCTGGGGTGGTTTTTTCAAACACTGCTTACAAATTGTCCTCCTTTTCCAGCAGAATTCAGCTGCTTTTTCTGCCTCTGCTGACACTTGATGTTCATAGGATCATGGGATGGGATGGAGGGACCTTCAAGATCACCCAGTCCCACCCCCCATGGGCAGGGACACCTCCCAGCAGCCCAGGCTGCTCCAAGCCCCATCCAACCTGCCCTTCAACACCCCCAGGGATGGGGCAGCCACAGCTTCCCTGGCCTCCCCAGCTTTCCTGGAGCCCCTTCAGGCCCTGGAAGCTGCTCTAAGGTCTCCCTGAAGCCTTCTCCTCTCCAGGCTCAACACCCCAACTCTCCCAGCCTGTCTTATGGAATCCCAGACTGGTTTGGGTTGGAGGGACCTTAAAGATCATTTAGATCCAACCCCCCCCCATGGGCAGGGACACCTCCCACCAGCCCAGGCTGCTCCAAGCCCCATCCAACCTGCCCTTCAACACCCCCAGGGATGGGGCAGCCACAGCTTCCCTGGGCAACCTGGCCCCGGCTCTCCCCACCCTCACACTCCACAATTCCCTCCTCAGCTCCAACCTCCAGCTCCCTCTCCCACTTTTCATCCCTCCCCCTCATCCCATCCCTCCCTGCCCTTGGCCCAAGTCCCTCCCCAGCTTTCCTGGAGCCCCTTCAGGCCCTGGAAGCTGCTCTAAGGTCTCCCTGGAGCCTCCTCCTCTCCAGGCTCAACACCCCCAAGAGTTTGGCCCCTTCTTGAAGGTTTTAGGAACATCAGCTTCCCTCCAGATCCAACTTCTCATGGTTCTGCAGCTGGTTGGGATGGAAAACACGAAGAAATTACCTTTGGAATTGGAATATTTTGGGATGTACTGAGCTCTGGTTTTCTTTCTCAGTCAGATTCCGAGGAGGATGAACCAGCCCAGAAGAAAAAAACCCTTCAGGTAAATATTTGGGATGTGCAATTCCATGGATTTCCCAGGGAAAAAAAGAACCATTTGGGTTCCAATCATATCAATTCACCACTAAGGGATAAAATTCCTGAAATCCCCTTTGGTTTCGTTGGGGGTTTTTTTTGAGAGGAGTGGAATTCAATGAATTTCAACCTCAGGAAAACAGGGAATGATTTGGGAAAAGGCACCAAGTGTCTCCCTAAAATCCCCCTTCCCTGGAGGAGCACGATGGAGCCAAGTGATGGGGAAAGGCATGGAATGGGGAGGAGGGGATGAACAAGGAGGTAGGAAAAGGGGAAGAGTCTCATTTCATTCCCTTCTTTCCATCCTTTTTCCTTCTTGGATCCCACCAGGCTCGTGGAGAAGGCTCTGGTTTGTCTGCTCTTCTTCCTCAACCCAAAAACCTGCCAGTCAAGGAGACCAATCGGGTGCTTTTGCCCCACGTTTTCTCCAGGAAAGGAGGAGAAACCCCCCAAGACTCCAAGCCCCCCAAGCCCCCCAGCTCTTCCTCCAAGCCCAAACCTCTCTCCAAGCCCACCATTCCCACCACTCCTTCTCCTTCTGCCATCAAAGCTGCTGCCAAGAGTGCTGCTCTCCAGGTGACCAAGCAGATCACCCAAGATGAAGAGGAGAGTGATGAAGAGGTGGAACCCGAGAACTACTTCTCCTTGTCTGACAGGAATGAACCCAACGTGGTGGGTGCTGAGACCTTCCTCTACTCCAACACGGTGGTCCCTGAGGATCCACCTCCTGGGACAGAACCAGAGCCCCAATTCCAGGACGCTGCTGCTAATGCCCCTCTGGAGTTCAAGACTGGAGCAGGATCCAGTGGGGCTCAGCACACTTGGGTGGCCAAACCTGGAGAAGACTATGGCAACTATGGCCAGTTCCCAGCCTATGGAGAGGGTGGAGTGACAGGGGGCTATTATCAGGTGGGTTGGTCCCTTCTCCCAAGGAACAAGGGATGGGACAAGAGGAAATGGGCTCCAGTGGGGCCAGGGGAGGGTTAGATTGGATCTTGGGCCAAACAGGTGAGGGACCTGAGAGTGTTCATCCTGGGAAGGGGCTGGAGAACAAGGAGGAGAAGGGTCTGGAAAACTTCCAAGGAGCAGCTGAGGGAGCTGGGGGTGTCCAGCCTGGAGAGCAGGAGGTGAGGGGAGACCTGCTGGCTCTGCAGCTGCTGAGAGGAGGTTGGAGCCAGGGGGGTCGGGCTCTGCTCCCCAGGAACAAGGGATGGGACAAGAGGAAAGGGCCTCAAGTTGCCCAGGGGAGGTTGAGGTTGGATCCTGGGAACAATTCCTTCCTGGGAAGGGTGGTCAGGCCCTGGCCCAGGCTGCCCAGGGTGGAGTCCCCATCCCTGGAGGGGGTTCCAAGCCCTGGAGATGGTGCTGAGGGACACGGGGCAGTGGTGGCCTTGGCAGAGTTGGGTTAATGCTTAGACTGAGTGACCTCAAAGATCTTCTCCAACCAAAACCATTCCAGGATTATGTGGGTTCACTTGACTTGGTGAAGCTGAAAAAGGTGTCAGGGATCCCAGAGAGTTAGTGAATCATGGATCATGGAATGGTTTGGGTTAGAGAGATCTTACAGACCATCCAGCCCCAACTCTGCCATGGGCAGGGACACCTCCCAGCAGCCCAGGCTGCTCCAAACCCCATCCAACCTGCCCTTCAACACCCCCAGGGATGGGGCAGCCACAACCTCCATTGGCAGCCTATTCCAGTGCCCCCCTGCCCCTCACTGGGATGAATTCCCTCCTCAGCTCCAACCTCCAGCTCCCTCTCCCACTTTTCATCCCTCCCCCTCATCCCATCCCTCCCTGCCCTTGTCCCAGGTCCCTCCCCAGCTTTCCTGGAGCCCCTTCAGGCCCTGGAAGCTGCTCTAAGGTCTCCCTGGAGCCTTCTCCTCTCCAGGCTCAACACCCCAACTCTCCCAGCCTGGCTCCAGAGCTGCTCCAGCCCTCCCAGCATCTCTGGGGCCTCCTCTGGACATGCTCCAACAGCTCCTGGAGCAGATTCCTTGTGGGGATGGAACCCATTGGAGATAGGTGGGACAAGGAGAAGATCTCCACAGCCCTTGGCACAAGAGTCTTCGTCTGGCACCAGAGCCCTGGATGCTTTTTGTGGGATAAATATTTAATAACTGAGCTGGCTTTAAAATGCCCCTGAGCAGCTCCTGGGTGCAGAGTCACCAAGGGCTGGTGTCTGGAGCTTCAGGGTGTTCCTGGACCTTCCAGTGCCTGAAGGGGCTCCAGGAAAGCTGGGGAGGGACTTGGGCCAAGGGCAGGGAGGGATGGGATGAGGGGGAGGGATGAAAAGTGGGAGAGGGAGCTGGAGGTTGGAGCTGAGGAGGGAATTGTGGAGTGTGAGGGTGGGGAGAGCCTGGGCCAGGTTGCCCAGGGAAGCTGTGGCTGCCCCATCCCTGGGGGTGTTGAAGGGCAGGTTGGATGGGGCTTGGAGCAGCCTGGGCTGCTGGGAGGTGTCCCTGCCCATGCAGGGGGTGGGACTGGATGATCTTGAAGGTCCTTTCCAACCCAAACCATCCCATGATTCTGTGAATTCAGTGTTTGTTGTTGGGTTCCTCTGAAAAAGCACCAGATGCTCCTCATTAATTAGCTGTGCTTAATGAGGTCCTGGCTCAGACAGAGGAGTCCCACACCCTGGGGACATCCCTGTAGGTGCCAGAGCAGCCACTCAGGTGCTCATGCTGAACCACCCCGGTCTCCCTGTGTGGCTTCTCCGTGATGAATCCGGCTTTTCCCTTCTTCCCAACCCCTTGTTCCTCTTTCCCACAGGATTACTACGCCGGTGGGTACTACCAGGAGGTGGAGCCACCACCGGCAGCGCCGCAGGAACCCAGCCCAGACTCCTCCTTCATCGATGACGAAGCGGTTGGTACTTCCCTCTCTTATCCCACCCGCGGAATTCCCGGTGGTTCTCGTTGGGTTGTTGTTCCCTGAGGTTTTGCTGTGGTTTCCCTGCAGCTCCAGAAGGGGCTTTGGTGGCTCTAGAAGTAGGTGTCCTTGTTATTAGGGTGTTGGAGGGCAAAGGGAGATGGATTGAAAGTGGAGGAGAAAGGCTGAGGTTGGAGCTGAGGAGGGAATTGTGGAGTGTGAGGGTGGGGAGAGCCTGGGCCAGGTTTCCTGGAGAAGCTGTGGATTGATGGGACTGGATGGTCTTAAGATCATGGGATGGTTTGGGTTGGAAGGGACCTTCAAGACCACCTGGATGATCCCCTAGATGATCTTCAAGGTGGTT